ATACAATTGTCTTTACCTATTAGCAATATCAGAGACAATCTGTACAGCCCTACTACTAAGAGATGTTATCTGTTTGAAATTTTAAGAGACAATCTATATGCTTTATCATCGTACAGCGCTATGACCAAGAGATATCTTTGTATCAAATTCAATTCAAACGAACTACAATAAATCGAGTTATTCAGCAGTTCTGTAGTATATTCAGAATATCACCAAGATAACATATATGACAAGATATCATGGCATCCATAGTGCGTGATACAGCAGACCATAGATTCACGTTTCGTATACTGAAGAAATAGTTTCAGCTTTTCTTGGAAGAACCTTACGCTATATACAGTCTCAGTATCTTATCTAACGATGAAACAGTTTTATTGCATAAATAGGTAAGGATAAGTAGATATTTTTCTTCTCTTTTATTACGTTTCAAACATTTTTCGTCTGCACGACGTTTCGGAATGAATGCACCTACTTCAAACACAAAAGTCGACTCAACTAAAGCGATAAGTAATGCAGCTAGCATTACTTGTAGCTTCAGTTTTCTCAATACGAATGTATGAACTTCGCTCACGATCGATGCACATAATATTAAAACTTATGTATAAAAGGAGAGTAAACTCAGATATGATGGCTGATAGAGATCAGTGGAAGAAGAGAATATACTGCGCCCAAATATAGGCAAGGTAATAATGATACTATGGAATATCAGCTGGCTATTTATAGCAGTTTCACTGCGATTCTCATTACCGTGAGAATATATGAAAATTCTTTTACAATTTTTTTTATGTTTGGCTATAGAGATTGTTTGTTTATTTTAAATTACTATTGTAATTTTTCGTTCGATTTACTTTTTTTTCTAGCTTGCTCGACTTGTTTCTAGTATATATCTAGGTTTTCCTTTCACGCATTGACAGATGTTATATACATGGTTATTTGTAAAGGTTACAGTTATTTCTATAGCAAGTGAGACAATTTAATATCATGAATTGTCTCACTTTTCAGGAAGCAAAAAACAAACCAAATTTTTTTTTCATCCTGAATAGAATGTTTATTGAAGTGCATAAAAAATATTTTACATTTCTACTTCGCTTCTTAACAAATGGCGCAGGCGCAGTATTTGTTTATTACAAAATATACTTTATATATATACATAATCCGTAGCATAATATATATTTATATGTATAGCTGTATATACAAACCGGATCATTCCAAAAAAAAATACAGCTTTAATTTGAAATTAGAAGCACCGCGCCGTTAAAATGCCGAGGTATTTACATAGCAGCAGTATAACTAGCATTCAGGTCACGCTCTTTAGCCCATTTCAGTTCTAGCGTGGAGCTCTTGTAAAACGTATTGAGGGCTGATTATGGCTTATTACTCTCAAAATAATCTTACCAAGTATTGAAAATGTTGTCTTTTATACTTGGACATAACTACAAGTTCTAATTTAGGCAGACCAAGTCGTGGTGCGGCATTCTTGTAATCAGTAATAAAATAAAGTAAGCAGAATCTAAATTATAGTACAGATACAGTGGGAAAGAGAATTGTTAATAATATAGACTGATGACCCTATTGATAGCAATATACCATGTTAGGTTGACCTCCACATACTTCCCTTTGAAAACCATCATAATAAATTTCTGGTGAATTTGTTACGATGGGCTAGCAGACCCGACCTCATCTCATCTTCATTGGTGCCCCGCCAACGGAAATCGTTAGCGTAGACAGGTGCATTTAAAAAAAAAGTCCATTACCATCCATTTAAAAAAAAAGTAAATATATATAAATCTCTAATATTTTACTTTTTTTTGGTTGAGTTTTCCCGTTCTGGGAAAGGCAAAAGTACACAGCCTATACAGCCATTATTTCGGTATTGTTTTCATATTGTATTTCCTTCAAATAATTGTCTTCACAAGTTATCTTGAAATGTTTATATGACGTACTCAAAAATAGGGTTTCTGGGTTCTTCAATAGATTCTGGATGGAGCACGGGATCTCCACTTTATCATATAACTAATATTTTACGTCGTAGTTTTTTAATGTCGAACGGCGATGTTTTCGATGACGTTAACAGTTTCTACCCTTTGAAATATTGGAAAAAGTGTCAATCAAATTGTACCGTACCACCCTTCATGGGAGCCGCAGGGAATGTGGGCGTTACACAATATTTACGTGAGTATGTACACTGTGTACCATGGGGTCCGTCATATCATATAAATCGATATGATGGGGAACATAAAATGATATGTTTTTTTGTTTATGTAGAACTACATATATAACCGTCACCTCTCTTGAACTCTATTTATTTGGCATCGTCATCATTTTAGTCTGTATCTATTCACTGTTGGATATATAGGCCTTTCCACCACGTGCTATCTTCCACCTTCCGCAACCATTCCCGGCTACCTTCTCGTTATCGTTGGTCCATCTTGCAGGATATCAAAATTCAACCGAAATACAACCTAAAAAGGAAGCTGCTTACATGAACAGCGGTATCATGTTATCAAGAGATATCTGAGGTACTCTTGCATTGATATTCCAGAGTGCACTGTTATATTACTGTCTTAATTTCAATCCTCAATCTAAACACATTTTACAAAGCAAGCTGCTTGCGTAAACAGCGGTATGACGTTATCATGAAACGTCCGTGATACCACTTATGATTGATATTATAAAATATCCTGTAATTTCTGTTTTAATTCAATCTTCAACCGAAACTCACCTTACAAAGCAAGTTGCTTGACGATTGAAATAGGTGAGTCAGAAAGAGAAAGAGAGGGACGTCTTTGTACGGACTCTACCGCGATAAAAGCGAATTATTGCAGCAATAGTATACTTTACAATAATGATGGCCGACTATAACAGTCATATACTTTTATTGCTGTTCTCAGACACAAATGTTGCAATATAACATTATTTTCGTTCGTAATGATTCGCTTTGAAAGTTTTCAACCATTTTCTGTTTATACAAATTGCGTAACGGTACATTTATCGTGTACACATTTTATTTATAAATGTAAACAAGAATGTTTAAATACCAACAAAGTTTAAAACAACATTTTCTTTATTGACATAGTTGTGAATATAGCGTGTATTTCAATGTTGTACGTATAAATATATGTACATATATCTAATAGCTATTATTAAAAATTATAGCATTATAGGTACTGCAAAGTGCCTTTAAATTATACATTTAATTAATTGTGCTACGTTCAAAATATGCTTTCTTGGATCTTTATATAGAGGTTATTTTTGATTCGTCTTTTTTTAAATTAATTAATTTCATTTAATAATTGTGTATCACAATAGTGAATGTAATGTCTTTATATAGTTTATTTATATCTATAGTTATTTCAAACCAACTAGCTGTAAGTTTATATTGTATTAAGTGAATAAATAAATAAATCTATCAGGAATTCAGCCAAACAGAAATGAGAAACTTTACTATTGTTGCAATCTTTCATAATTATTTCGTGTGAATACCAAGTACCGCAATATCATAATTCATAACCATCCATATAGTCATATACCTTACAAATAGAATTAAAGTTTTTAAATTTATATTTATAATTTATTTATGTTATATTATATTCTATACCACAAAAACAGTAAATATTCTCAAATACTATATGTGGATATATGTATATGTGGCACATAGAAACCCACGCTGTCAGTGACATACGAACTGCAATGTAGTTTTTCACGTGTTTTTATTCGGTTAATAAATTGATGTCAACTGTTCGTTTTGGACGGACATAAGTTACGGAACGGAACAAATTACCGGAATTAACGGTCTTAATATGTTTTTAACGATTCCGGCTAGCAAATTGTATGTTTACACATTGATGAAACAAAATACAATGTAAATTACACGGATAAGACAATTGTATTTCGAAATTCAAATAATATATTATCTGTATAATAAAAAAGAATATTCGTATTTAGAATAAGTTAAAAATAAAAAATATTTAACTCTTTTCATCGACACTGTATTATTTTTATCATAAATAAACTCAATTTAATTAATATATTTGATAATGTAATACCTTTTAACATTTAAAAATAAGACAAGCCCGGCATTTACTCGAATATATAAGAAATAATAAGAAAGTTATATATAGGAGTGTAGATATTAAATATTTTACAAAGAAAGTCCATCTACTCCTCTTCTATGATTACTATTCTATGAGTATTATCATTGTCTATGTTACATAGTGATACAAATGCATTACTTTCATCTCACAAGAGTTATCTGATGGTAATATTTACCACACAATGTGTGATTTACGCGTCTAGTGTCGTTCAAACTTGGACATGTTTCAACAATTCTGTCTTGATCCAAACCGATATATCACCTCAAAGGAACATAAATAGATCAGGTCAACACCCTCTTTTTACTCACGTAAGAGATGAAAAGGAATGCTATGAATTCATACTACGAAATAATGAATGAATCCCATCTGTGTAATTTTTAACCAGTTTGGAAAGTGACTGAGATAATAATGTGTTTTTTTATTTCAATTATTCTGCAACTGCCTCGTACCTTGTAATTTCACTGCACAGTATTTAAAAGTAGCTTTTGCGATCAGACAACAGGTCATAAATTGATGTAGACCTAAATATACATACAACTTGGTGCAAATTGGTATTAAATGCATCAATGATAATAATATTAAAAAGTATAAGTATACTGACGCCCACGGTGATCTAGCAGTTAGTTAGTTAGTTAGCACACCGCGTTACTATCGATGGTCGCGGGTTCGATTCCTCGCACGGTACAAACATTTGTATTCATGACTAGATTGATTGTATCGGTCAGTTTTCTATATATATATATTATATGTATGTGTTTATAGTAAAAGATATCTGTATTCATATCAGTTGTCTAATATCCATCACACAAGCTCTGTTTAGCTAACTGTAGCTTTGGAACTAGAGTGCGCCGTGTGAATAGTCCTAAAACATAAATAATTAATATTTAAAATAATCTCTTGTTCCAGGTACAAGGATAAGTGGCATGTTGTGACACGGTGACAATGACGGAGAGTTAGTGTTGTGAAAGTGTCGATATCGATATCGATAAAATGGCGCGGTTGTTGCTAGCGTTGCTGTTGCCGGCGCTGGCCGCCGCTGCGATGTCGCCCGGCGACACGGAGACGTGCAATCCGGATAAAATGACAGTTTACCGGGTGGTGCTGCACACGTATTGGACCAGGGAGAAATTCCCCAAACATTACCCGGATTGGAGGCCGCCGGCGCAGTGGTCAAAGATGTATGGTAAGAATCTTTATAATTACAATTTAATTAGTTAATAATATTCTTCATCTTTATTTGTCTCAAATGATGAACTCTTTTTGCTTTGTATGTTTTATTTTCTTACTATGTGTATTTTTTCATTTTTAAATTACATAGTATAAAACAAACAAAGTCGCTGCCGCTGTTTGTTCGCTTATATCTTTTAAATTACGCAACAGATTTTATTACAGTTTTCAATAGATAGAGTGATTCGAGAGGAAGGTTCATATGTATAGTACAAACCGGAGAAATTAGAAGATTTATGATTTATCCAGAAATAAAAGGTACTAATCGAGACAAAATTGTCTACAACTAAGATGGGCAGTGAGTCCACGATGATATATATACATATGTATGTGTATATACACACAGAACATTTTCACCCTTATAATATTAGTAGATTAGTGTCGAGAGACGGCCGTGGGTCGGCTCCCTGCCTCGTTACATTCAAATATACTCAGCGAAATGTGGTCATATCAAGTGTTGCGTTCAACATTATATCGATAATTGACAATGCCTCTGACAACCCTATCTGGGATAACAGTGGTCAGCATTTTTTTTATGATAATGGAATGGTGCACCCGACTGCGCTGGTTTGGAACCAGAGGATGATAATAAGATGAGCATGCGATCAGGTCAGTTAGCCCATCGTGGAAAATTCATCTGGAATTTAACGTGATAGTAGAGGTCATGGCACATTGCTAGCAATGGGTCAACAACAGTCCAAATTACAAACAATCCCCTTCCCTCACTTCTTAGAATTCCATGGACTCACCGTGCAGGTGCCGAGTCCATCGTGTGGCAGAGAGGGAAACTCCGAGCAGTTCACGGAACTTATGGTTCGGGTGTAGGTTTAATTGTGTCCTTTGCATACATACGTTAACACTCACCTTCACCGCTCGTGTTTCTCTCCCTGCCCAGCCAAACTTAGAACGAGTCTGCTAGTACGCTTTAGATACACTTGTGCCAAATATGGTAGGAGTTTTAGATACATTTGTATATTTGAAGTTTAGGGAAATAAAAGTGAGAATATTTATAAATTTAAAAAAAATTGATTGGATAAAAATGATCGCCGTATTGAAAACTTTGTCCATTGAAAAGTATATAAAATAAATTATAATTGCAAAATTTCTCCCATTCACAGCGAAGCACTTGAAAGTTCGGGGCTTCGGGAATAAATTTGCGGCATTGTGTGAATTTACTTGCAATAATAGCAATGAATAAATTGTTTTCGCATAAATTTACAATTCAAGTAGTTACCATCGAAAGTTTAGCGAGGAGAATTGTTTACTTGACCGAAAATTATGATACACTTTCTTAAATTAATTAATTTATTAGCAACTAGCAGACCATTTTCTTCGTTTTTGAATTTATTTCATTGCAGCATATAAAAGTAATAAACGAGACAAAACGGTCTACAACTCAGAAGGGGCAGTTCACCCTCCCTGCTATTCTGTTACAGCCTTTATTAGTAAATTAATATAATAAAAGATCGACGACGATGATAGCACTTAAGTTCATATGCAGATCTTACATAATATATACATATATATTATGTATATAGCCCATTTATTAAGGAAGACTCTTTTTTAATGAAGACTTTATCTTTATCAAAGAAAAAAAAAATTCTTAATAAATGAGCTATTGGACACTAAAGGAATTTTCAAAATTCGATCAGTAGTACCGGAAATGACCCTGAATAACGTAACGGGAGAGATCCGTTACGTTATTCAGGGTCATTTTCATTGGCCATACCATATACAAATCAATAGTTTATACATTTATTTATTTATTAATATTACTTATATTACTGTTTTCTTGCATCAGTTATAGAAACGTATGAATTGATCGATGATAAAGATATTCAAATAAATAGCACAAAAGACGTTATTGTCGATAAGAAATCTCTTCCAGACAACCTTGAGTAAAAGGTAATGTTATAAAGTAAATGTTAATCTTACTAAATAAATAAGAACACTGAACAATTGAAACAGCGCCACATAGTCACATGCTAAGCAGAGCTTGAGTCATGAGTAATAATGATTATGGGTACTAAACAATTGATATCGTTTTGTAAATAAGTACATAACAACATATAAAATACCCATTCATATACAAACAATAATACTCATGACTACAAGTGTTTGCACGATATGAGGAATCGAACTCTCGACCATCAAAAGTAGAGTGGTCTACTAAACTGTTAGACTACCGAGCCGATGCGATGCCGCGATATATAACTTCTTAAGGGTCGGCTATGCATGTGACACCCCTGTTGTTTCAGGCGTCCATAGGCTACGGAAACCGTTTACCATCAGAAGGGCCGTATGCTTGGTTGCCACTTACATGGTATAAAAAAAATGATTTTCTAAAATAAAATTATTATAATTGTCAATAAAAACTATTATGTTACATTTAAAATTATAATTTATTTTATTTTAAAATTCAATATAAATAAATAATAATTTTCTGAACAAAATCTACATTGTATCAATAAACTATAGTACAAAAGGTGGACTTAATATATTATTATTCGCTTTGCATCCTGAAATATAATAATGCTTATTATCCTTAATTAGTGCAACAACATGTGTGGTTCAATGTGAAATTGTGAATCATTTTGCAATGATAATGTTCATAACAGACAAGGCTACAAGTCAATGACACGTGATAATGGACGTACATATAATACATCCATTCAAACAATCTGAATGATTTTATGCTGAATAAACCATTTAATGATGATAGCTATATCATTCAATCAGAAAATTGGTGTAGGTATTTTGTAGGTAATTTATTTATGCCATTGGAATGCTCTGTAAACAGCCTATAACAGTATACCTGGTCATTTTATAAATTAAAAAAAAAGTTGTATAGCTAATACTCTATTGAATCTACTACTCATTAGAACAGAATAAATTAGTTATAGTTATCAGAGCAGATCATTCCCTACAAGCAGCACCTATTGACGAGTATAACGTATAAAAAACCTTAATAATTAAAATCTATATTGTTACAGCACATTCGAGTGGTCAATATTATTTCTGAAACCAATGATAAACCTATCACTTGCCTCGAAAAACGCCAATAAATTGGCGGAATGAAATAAACAGCAGTGTGTATTTATTTTCCGTACAAGTCCTCCTCATTATTTTTATTGCTTCTTCTATATAAATGTCAAAACAGCATTTAACGTGTAAAGATATTGGCTCCCGCTGAAATATTGGCACGATTGGCCATCGGCCAATAAAGTAACGGCTTATTTGAAATTAATTCATTTATAAGAACTTCCAAATGGCCTTTTCTTGGAAAAAGAGCGAAGAGTTTTAAATCATCCCAGTGTTTATAAAGGCCGGACCAACTTTAAAAATAAAGCGTACAACTTTGTTAATTGTCTGCCCACGCAGGCGTCCTACTTCGGAGCAAATATTTTTGCCTGGGAAATTCGACCGTGAACAAATATATGCAAGAAAAATATATTTATTTTTTATGAATTATAGGAAACAGGTTATGTCGTAACTACTTCTATAATAAAATTAATCGATCTAAATAGTTTAATGAGGTATGACGAACAAATACCGAAATAAACTTAATCTAAAAGTTTGTATTTATATCATAACGAGCTGGCCCGCGTAACTAAGTTTTGCGTAAACCCGCGTTGCTAAGTAACAGTTTATATGTAACGTGCAACTGATTGGAACGAGAATAAATTATATTTACTGCTGTATATCTGTAATCCACTGAATATCTCCATCAATAAGTTGTCATGTCAGACTATCAGTGTAGGCACCTCAGACTGCTTTTGTACAGTCTTCCTCGGTTCTCGTCCTATCGTTCTGTCAGTTATAGAATCCTACTATACGGCAGCACGTACTCTTAAATTAATTATATTAAAAATATATAATACTGTTTACAGTGATTCATGAATGATATCAGAGTGTAGTGAACTCACGGGTTGCCAATTGGCATGGTTACAGCACTACTCTATAATATTGCTGTATTTTAATAGTGTCATTTATACGGCAGGTGTATTTTAAGGCGTACTTATCGGTACCGGTGTCCCGGCAAGACATTTTTAGAATACTTAATTTTTTTTATAACAAACAACATACCGTTACGACTGTAATCACAGATGAGGTAGTTTGAGGCATTATTGAGTGTCGCAGTAGTGATGAACACAGCACATGACATATTCATATTTCGCTCGATATATTTTGAACACCTCGTGGCAGCTGCCATCTGGTGGATTAAGTTTTGATTTAATATCGGTGTTTCCTTTACCGAAGAGTTAGAAATATAATTTGCCACACATTTTTTTTTTAATTCGGTCAGATTTAACCTCATGATCTCATGAGTGTAATTCAGGGTAGTAAGCTACTAGGCTACGACACTATTAATATTATTATATTTAGATTATTTATTACATACTATATAGTCAGAACTTCGAAAAGTTATTCGTGAAACCGATTAACTTCAAATTTGTTGCCGTTCCTAAAGACTAAGGTGTTAACTTTTTAACCTGTAATTTTATTACTTCATTTTGTTATTAATAGGATAAGCTTATAAAAGAACCTACTACAAATACGTGAAAAAGAGGTTTGAAAGAAACTTTGTTCATATTCTCTCTTCTTTCGTTTCCTAGTGTTCATTAGAATGTAGGGTTGAAGTTGTGCTCATGTTTTCTTCATTAGTAATATATATTTCTTTTTAATTAATAAATATATACATTATATTAGATAAGTAATTGACCACTGCTAAACTGAAGCACTAGCAAAAAACACTGCATGTGTGTACACACGTTTCTGGACACATGTCTAAGACTGTGCACGTGTATTTGCCAATTCAATCCTTATGCTCCTACCAATAGAGCATATATCAAATTAGCGTGTATTCCGGCTAACGATGGCAATTAAGAACAGGCCTACCTTAAACTAATGGTTTTGTTTTTCCCATACTACGGAGGCGCGCCTTAATTTCCTTTT